CTGATACCAAAGCCAGAAAAGGATGCAACAAAAAAAGAAAACTACAGACCAACATCTCTGATGAACATAGATGCAAAAATCCTCAATAAAATATTAGCAAACTGAATCCTACTGCATATCAAGAGGGCAATTCAGGCCAGGCGTGGTGGCTCATGCCTGTAATCCTAGCACTCGGGGAGGCCGAGGCGGGAGTATTGTTTGAGCTCAGGAGTTCAAGACCAGCCTGAGCAAGAGCAAGACCCCGTCTCTACTATAAATAGAAAGAAATTAGCCAAACAACTAAAAATAGAAAAAATTAGCCAGGCATGGTTGTGCATGCCTGTAGTCCCAGCTACTTGGGAGGCTGAAGCAGGAGGATTGCTCGAGCCCAGGAGTTTGAGGTTGCTGTGAGCTAGGCTGATGCCACGGCACTCTAGCCCAGGCAACAGAGTGAGACTCTGTCTCAAAAAAAAAAAGAGGGCAATTCACCACAATCAAGTTGGTTTTATCCCATGGATGCAAGGATGGTTCAACGTACTCAAGTCAATTAATGTGATTCACCACAAAAACAAAATTAAAAACAAAAACCATAAGATCATCTCAAAAGATGCAGAAAAAGCATTTGATAACATCCAATATCCCTTCATGATAAAAACCTTAAAAAAAAATTCAGCATAGAAGAAATATAGCTAAAAATAATAAAAGCCATATATATGACAAATATGAAAATTTGCCTATCAAAATACCAACATCATTTTTCACAGAATTAGAAACAACAACTCTAAAATTCATATGGACCCAAAAAAGAGCTCGAATAGCCAAAGCAATCCTAAGCAAAAAAGAACAAAACTGGAGGCATCACATTACCTGACTTCGAAAAATACAGCAAGTCTATAGCAACCAAAACAGCATGGTACTGGCATAAAAGTAGACCCATAGATCAGTGGAACAGAATAGAGAACCCAGAATTAAAATCGTATAGCTACGACCAATTGATCTTTGAGAAAGCAAATAAAAACACACATTGGGGAAAGGACACATTATTCAATAAATGGTGCTGGGAAAATCGGAGAGTCATATGCAGAAAAAATGAAACTGGATCCTTATCTCTCATCATATATGAAAATTAACTCAAGATGGATTAAAGACTTAAATGGAAGATCAAAAAACCATAAAAATCCTAGAAGAAAACCTAGGAAAAACTCATCCAGACACTGGCCTAGGCAAAGAAATTATGACTAAGACCCCAAAAGCAAATGCAACAAAAATAAAAATAGACAAATGGGACTTAATTAAACCAAAAAGCTTCCGCACAGCAAAAGAAATAAACAAAAGAGTTAATAGACAACCTACAGAATGGGAGAAATCATTTGTGAACTATGCATCTGACAAACCTATAATACCTAGAATTTACAAGCAACACAACCAACTCGGTAACAAAAAAAACAAACAATCCCCCTAAAAACTGGGCAAATGACATGAACAGGCATTTTTCAAAAGAAAATATACAAATGGACAGCAAACATATGAAAAAATGCTCAACATCACTAATCATCAGAGAAATGCAAATTAAAACCACATTGCGATACCATCTTAATCCAATTAGAATGGCTGTTACTAAAAAGTCAAAAACAATGGATGTTAGCTTGGATGTGGTAAAAAAGGAATACTTATATACACTGTTGATGGGAATGTAAATTAGTACAACCTCTATGGAGATTCCTCAAAGAACTAAAAGATCTGCCATTCAATCCTATAATCCCACTACTGAGCCATCTACCCAAAGGAAAAGAAACCATTATATCAAAAAGATACCTACACTCATTCATATATTTATCATAGCACAACTCACAATTGCAAAGATATGGAATCAACCTAAGTGCCCATCAACCATTGAGTGGATTAAGAAAATGTGGTGTATATATACCATGGAGACAGTTTACAAATGTCTTCTGCAGCAACTTGGATAGAAATGGAAGCCATTATCCTAAGTGAAGTAACTCAGGAATAGAAAAATAACTGCTGCTGCTTCTCACTTGTAAGTGGAAGGTAAACTATGGCCACATAAGGACACACAGAGTGGTATAATTGACATTGGAGATTCTAAAGTGGGGAGGTTGGGAGGGAGTAAGGGATCAAAAATTACCTATCGGGTACAATGTACACTATAAGGGCAACAGGTACAAAAGCCCAGACTTCACCACTACACAATATATACATATACCATACTTCAACTTGTACTCCCTAATTCTATTAAAATGAAAAAAAAAGACTTACATATATTCTCTGTACTATCATTTTGTGCAACATTTAAGTTAGACACTGTCTACAAAATTATTTAAAGCATATCTAACATTTTCAAAATCAGAGAATTGACAGTGACAAAAGACACCTTTAAGTTCATAGTATAAGTAACATCAATTAAGTAATTTACAGATTTTCTAGAAACAAACCAATCCACATATCCTACATGAATTATAATGATTCTTAAAATAAGAGATAGTCTGATAATATATAATTTTAATTCACTAAAATTTTATTCATATATTGACATCATATGCAATAAATAACTCCCCCGAAATATTATTTAAGATACTATGAATCAGAAAGACTTGATACCAGAAAATAATTTGTTTTTGTGAAGATCAAAAACAACAAATACCTTCAATTTGCCCAGTAAGTACTAACTACACACCTTCTCTATAGATGACCTCTATCTACTAAGTCATAACTTTGCCAGAACCTGATACTGATCTTCAGAACCATATACAAAAAGAAACTGTGTTTTCCCCTCTATTCTACTTTAAAATCTTCTAATTCTAATGAAGTAAAAAGTGAAACCACATATGATCTAAAATGGTTTCCAAAATCTCCATCCCCAAATATGTTAAGCTCAGCTCAACACCTGTCACTTATTAGACTTTATAAATTTAATCGTAAGTATATATATACATTTAAACATATTACCTATTTAATGTTTATGACTATTTTCACATTATAGCATTTTTCCAGGGCCTGGTCTACACTATCCAGTGAAGATGGCAAACTCTTCATTAGACTTACTCCCTAGAAATGCCCATCTTCATGGTCATGTGCAAACACTTAGTGCCCTCTGGTGTTCTTTCCCCTGCATCCTGGAACAATTCAGATAAAGCTAGTCTTCCCAGAGTACTCTGTCATTCTAATTTTCTCTATTTCATCTCCCATACTGCTCACGTTTGTTGACCATTAAGAATTATAAATTAATCTTGAGTTAGATGGTGCTAATAAATCCTAACAATTCAATGTATTAAAACATGTAGGAAATACCTTAGCAAGTTAACACCTTTCCCAAAGAGAAAATTATAGTGAAAATGTAGGACCTCATAAAGGAAATATTAATATTCGGGGAAGTCAGGTTTTTTCTTAGTTTATTTCATTTACTAAATAACATGAAACTTGTATTTGAATATATTTAAATATTTTTCCATCTTGGACTGAACCACCCTTGAGACTTACAGAGAGGTGAGATTTTCTGCTAGAGGGCAAGTTTCTGTATTTGGGCCACTACAACTATACACATAACCTATTGGAACATAACTCCTTATTTTAAATATTTAGATGTACTACATGCAAGAAATAATTTTACATGGAAAACGCTAAGTACAACCTAGCCAAATGATGGATTTTAAAGTTCATCGACTAGTTCTGCAGCCCCAAATGCCAAATGACCTATGCTAAGTCGACCAAGAATTGAGGGGGCTTACTTCATTGTTTCCAAGCCGAGTACACGACGATAATTGAGACTGTCATGTTTCACAGTAAAACACACACACAATACTAATAAAAGCAAACAAAACCTACAGCTTATCTCCGTTAAAGAGCACTGACAGCAAAAACGCTAGCTGCTGAACTTTCACTATGCGCTGAAAAAGATTAGAATCTGAAGCAAACTAGTTAATGATGAATTTATCCTCTAATAAATACCATATTTTTATTTACAGTGATTGTGTACATGTGATATTTTCTTATTAACTACAACTGGATTCTACTCAAAATAATTACTTCTGCTTTGTCTTCCAGAGTAAAAACAAAATATGGCATAAAAACCTGTATTAACAGGCCACACCACTTTTTTTCCTCTTTTGTTCTTTTTTAATGCAATTCTAAAATCATTCAAATGGCTTTGGTTATGGTTATTGAAGAATTAAATAGCATAATTTCATTTTTCCATGCCTGGGCTCAAGTAGGAACAAAAAGTGAGTTATGATTCAAAAGTGTAGTTAAAAATTAAATTATAAACAATAATTGTATTCGAACAACCTAGGGCATGACATATTAGTTTGTAAAACGGCAAAACTAAACATTAATTCATATAACAATGAGAGCAAATGGTATAATAAACCATTTAATGATTCTTTATTGTTTTCTGAAGAAAAGGATTTTTATTCCCCCACAATCCTGCATTTAAGTACACTTCATGTCCACATATACTCAGAGCAGCTTTCTCTATGAACCTAAAATTTCCTGTGACACTTTGTCTCTTAAATGGTAGCAAAAAGTTGTTAAATACCAGTCAATTACACTTTGATGCAGAAATTATTTCAATATTTCATGTTTCTCTAATGCGTTATGATCACAGACAAAATTTTATTTCCATAAAGAACTGTCAGTGCATGACTATTCTGCCATGCAAAATGTGCTAGAATTTAAATTAAATTGTGATTTAATCATATTTATTTTCTTTCATCATGCTAGCTTTTAGAGGTACATATCAAAATCTACTCAGGTTGAAACAACATTTTTATACACAAAACTTAAAAAAGGATGTCTTTCTTTTTACTTAATGTTTAAGAAATGAACAGTCAAAGATTTTTACATTTTTCCTTAATTTAAATGGTTTCTTCAAAAGATAACCTCCAAATTGCCAAATGCCAATACCAATATTTTGGTATTTCCAGAGTTACTAAAATCTTTATAGACACCTTTTCTTAAGAATAATAAAGTATGATACAGATACATAATAAGCCTTAAAAAAATACCTGAGAGGTCTTGCCTGGGGATTGCCTGCTTCTACATATGGATGTAAATAATCCTTTATGTAGAGATCAGCAGCACTATTAGAATGGGTGCAAATGAGAATCCTGCTGAAATAAATGGTGCAAATAAAAAGAATGATAAAACACAAAACTATTCAAGCAGTATAATACCAAAAAAAAAAGCAGTGGCCATCTTAATATTATACATTTCCCTCAGCCTACTCAGTAATTCCTAACATTATTCAATGATGCCTTTAGGAAATTATATTACTCTTTAAGCTAAAAAGGAAGTTCTCCAAAATTATTTTTAAATCTATCATATAAAATACATATTTTTTAAACCCAACTCCTTTGGCTCTAACAGATATCATAATTATTTAGCAGACTTGAAGTTTTCGTGGCTAGTTAAAAACTATCATTGTCTACATTGCCAATTTTCAAAAACACTATGCTTTAAGAAAATTCAAATTTTAGTGTTTGGGGGTTTGGGTTTTTCCTTTTTTTCTATCATTTTTAATGTTTACGAGCTGGATGAAAATTGTCCTGCTGGCCCTCATTTTGTATTTAAACAAGAACAGAGGGAGGTCCCTACTAGTGAAACATGAGCACACATCCTACCCTCTCACCTAGTCTCCTGCTGCTGCAGAATATGTTTGACGGCCTGAGCTAGTGTGAATGTTTTGCCTGTTCCATAGGGTCCGATGATAAGCACAGGCGGCAGCTGTATTGAAAGTGGAGTGGTTATGGCCAGAACAGCCTCTTTCTGCTTCGCATTTAGTCGAGGATCCAATTGTTCATCCCATTGCCTATGGAAAATAAAAATTTAAGTTATTTTAAACACATGCACATTATTAATGAACAGAAAACACACAAGTATCCTGAACTTCACCAAATCATTCAAACTACTGAAATAACATAGCATCTATAAAAGCTAAAATGCCTTCTGAAACTGCTTTTTAGACAATTACCCAACAGAGTCAGCGTAGGGTGTTTTACCATGTAAATCAAAACTAACTTTATCTTGTCCTATTCCAAGTACAAAAAGATTTTGGTAACCAATCTAAAGAAAGCACACACTTCTAATCTAGTTGCTGCCAAGTCTATAAGTAGTAATGGCAATGTTTCAAAAATGTAATTTCACTGTTACATAAAAGCATCAGAAAACTTTATTCAGATAATAATGCAGTAGTGATTTCTTTGCATAGCAAATAAAATGCAAAAGGGAAACGAACTGAATTTCGAAATCTAATCTATTGAAAGTTCTCTTAGTAAGGTTTAAAACAAGAGGAAAAGAGAAAAACCTGTATGTTCCTGGTTAAGAGGTATTAAATTTTTACAGATCTTAATTTAGAAAATAGGTTTTTTTAAAAGGTATCAAAGCCAAATAAAAGGAAATGTTTTCTAATATTTTCACACACACATGCACACACACACACACACAGATACACATATATCACACTTTCGAGAATACAGAACACCTGTCACACTAGCACAGATGGCTGCTGTAATGAGATCTATCTTATTCATGTCCCTTCTATGACTTGGCTAAGTTTCCAAGATTTAAGTGGACAGCAGATGCTGAAACAGATCAAACCAAGTAGAGAGTCAACAGCGTTCTTTTTCACAACTACAGTTAAAATACTAAATATCACAACTATGGTAAAGACAATAGGGATGTGAACCAAAATAGGAAGGATGTGTAAAGAAATTCTTAGAAAACTTGCAATCAAAGTGCCTACAAATTAATCCTGAAATAGGACAAGGTTTAGACAGGAAAATTCCCTCTCTGTGAAGCTAACTCTACTTAAATCACAAGCAAGTTATTTATGGAAAATCTTAACACTTTCGGCTTTTAAAAAATTTTAACTGATGTTATTTATGACAGATAATCTCAAACCAACAAAATTCTCTTTAAAAAATATAAAACCTTAGAAAACAAACTTTGACCATATAAACATGCCATTACTTATTTTTCTGGAATTTAAAATTTTTAAGTTAAAAATTAAAAAAGAACTCTGAGCAATGGCACTAGATTTCCTGCAAGCTATTAACTAATCTCCAGCATTTTACCTCAAAGAGTCCCTCGACATTAACCAGCTAATTTACTCATAATTCTGCTAGTATCTACCAATGTTCCATCTTCTATAAATGAGAAAAGTGCTTTAGGTGATCTCTAAGTCCAGACCTAAGGTATGTGGCAGACACTGCGGAATGGCTGCCCCGAACCATTCGCAGCGCCCTTCCCCTCTGCCTCCCTCTGCTATGGAGCCTAGTCAAGTACAACGCTCCATTCCCAGCCACCTTTGCTAGAGACCCAACACTGGTCAATTAGATGCAGGCCAAAGTCCCTGGGAAGGGCCTCTACACCTACTAAAACAAAAACAAAGCTGCACTTGTTACAGTTTTTTTAAAACTAGAGAAAGCCCTTCTTACTCCTTCAGCAGACCAGAAAAAGTTTGTGGTAAAAAAAACTACAGCAGTCATCTTATAACCATGAGGCAACAGCATCAAGAAGAAAACCAACATGCTCTACAAGGCAGAGAGGAGAGGGAGACACTGGTCCTTGATGGCACTGCGGAGCCCCTGCACAGCCCTGGACATCTGCCTCTGGGCTTACAACTCCACTTTTTAAAGCCACAGTTACCTGAATCCATACCTGCCCACTATGATTCTATGATACTGGACCCCAATGGTCTCCTTAAGAGGTACATGAAAGCAATGATACTTGCATCAGATGGTTACTTTAAAGTTCAAATGAGATAATACATGCAAAGCTGTTTAGAAAAACAATTGAGTAATAAAAGCACAATTAAGGTTAGCATCCATTATTATAATATTTTCTGAGGATTTCAGAAAAATGAGATATTACTTGTATATACTTATAAAAACAAAAAGTTTTAAAAACACTCTCTAATCTTTCAAATCTGGGGATTTTAATGAACTTAATGAGATAGACATAATATTATATGCATAAGTATAAATCTAAAGAGATTAATGACAGACTTATATGTGTAATTCTGAAATATATCAATATCTCTTTATTTTTTTATATAGCCCAGGAGTGGGGAACCTGTGGCCTTCAGGCCACGTATGGCCTTCTAAATCCTTAAGTGTGGCCTTTTGACCAAATCCAAATTTTACAGAACAAATCCTTTTAATAAAGTTCCCCACCCTTGATACAGCTGATTCTGCTTATCAATTGTTTGAGTGTAATAAATGCTTCAGAGCAAATCAGAAACTTTTATCAATGTCGGTTGTCTCAGTAATTTCTGGCCATGAATGATGAACATTTATAGAAAATCAATGAATAAAACAAACTGTATTTATTTATCATACCACCTACTTAATAAGAGAAAGATTTACAATATACATGGTAAGAATCATCTCTGATTTTCACAATTTAAAACAATATAAAGTCTCTTCAAGTTTATTCAAAATAAAATAAAATTGCTCTTATTCCCTGAACCAAATTAATTCAAAGTCCTTTCTTCTCCTGGCCTCATGCATTGTTATAATTAATTTATAGATTGCATGCTCAAGAACAATTTTTCAACTTTATTTATCCATAGATATTCCACATTATTTCAGAAAAGATATTAAATGGCCAATGGTTTCTCAGTATGTTTTTAGACCCAGATACCTTATAATTACTATTTAAGTTACAGTGGCATGAAGTCTTTTCCTGCTTGAAAGTTTTCTACTACTTGACATTTTCTTAGTTACTTTTGCAGTTAACATTTATAGTCAGTAATATTTGAATATATTATGTTATATACAATATAATTCTCAGAAGTGAGCATATCAAATAAAAATGCCTAAAAGTTTACTGGTATGAGGCCGGGCACGGTGGCTCATGCCTGTAATCCTAGCACTCTGGGAGGCTGAGGCAGGCAGATTGTTTGAGCTCAGGAGTTCGAGACCAGCCTGAGCAAGAGCGAGACCCCGTCTCTACTAAAAAAATACAAAGAAATTAATTGGACAACTAAAAAATATATAGAAAAAATTAGCCGGGCATGGTGGTGCATGCCTGTAGTCCCAGCTACTCGGGAGGCTGAGGCAGGAGGATTTCTTGAGCCCAGGAGTTTGAGGTTACTGTGAGCTAGGCTGACGCCACGGCACTCTAGCCCGGGCAAAAGAGTGAGACTCTGTCTCAAAAAAAAAAAAAAAGTTTACTGGTATAGCATCACATTTGAAACTCTAATTTTCTTTAAACTTGAAATCCTTATTAACGTCAATGTGTCAAATATGGTAAATGTGCAAGACCCTGCTGGTGTTCAAAGATAAATAAGACAAAGCTTTCCTTTACAAAGCTCAGAGCTGAGCAAGAAAAGTAGAAATGTACGCAACTGACAAAAATTAATTTGAGAGAAATTATGCTTAAAAGCACAAAACTAAGTTAGCCTAGCACATGGCAGGTGCTCAATAAATATTAATATTTGTTGCAATAATGAAATGGAGAGGTCAGGTTCATCTACTTGAAGGAGAGAGCCTTCAAGCTGGACAACTTAGATCTTCGATAGACTAATATTGGGCAAAGATTCTTTCAGAGAGAGAAAACACTTGAAGAGAAGGAGACAGGGCTAGGGAGAGGGAATATGGGAGTTGTTTGATGGACATATGATTTCAATTTTGCAAGATGGAAAAGTTGATTGCACAACAATGGGAATACATTTAACACCACTGAACTGTACACTTAAAATGATTAAGATGGCAAATTTTATGTTGTGTGGATTTTACAATAATCAAAATTTTTTTTAATAACAAAAAGATAAGGAAGCAAATAAATATAGGGAAAATTAGACAAACTTCAAGGTAATTCAATATGGCTAACATATAGCGATTTAGAGGGAAAAGGGATGTGTCAAGTAGAAAACAGTAAAAGCAATCTGAAAAGGCAGTTCTGAAAAGCACAGTCAATGAGATCATATCCTAGAGCTTTGGATGAGGCTGCTCAGACTTTATCTGCACATCAAGCAGAAGTCTTTAGAGATGTGTGAGTAGTGAACTACTATGATTATTTTAGAAAAGTAACTCTGGGAGAAATATGTGGACTGGCCTAGAGCACAGGGCCGCAGAAGGCAGGACTGGAAACCAACTAGAAGCCTACTGAAATCGTCCAGGTGGAAATGAAGCATTGGCTGTAGGAACGAAAGAAAGGGAAGCATTAAGAGAAACTGAATCAAATGAGAACTGAGGAGTGGTCACTGGATTTTTACAAGTATTAGATCACTGAGCATATTCAGGAGAGTGAGCAAGTGAAAACCAGAGGTTACAGAGTGAACAAGTAGGAATCCTGGGAATATGCGGACTATTCCCTCTCGAGAATTTTGGCAATAAAAAGAAGAAGGCAAGGCAGAGAGGGTAAGCAAAAGCCTGGAGAAATGATTCAGGGTTTGTGCTGTAAGGCATATTTGTTTAGTTCTGTTTTTAGGGCCAGAAGAAATGGAATATGAGGGGAAGTAACACATGCCCCTTTTAGGCCTTGCTCGTTTCTCACATGATCCTCTGGGTTCATTATGCCCATCTGCCAACTGAATGTGAACACCAAGGGTGACCTTAGAAACCAATTATTGAGGATCGCAGAGCCTCAGTCAGTCATGGAAAGGGCCCCAATACCGTGACTGAATTGACACAAGTGATAAATAAACTTCTATTGCATACAGCCACTGAGATTTTGTTTTGTTTTGTTTTGTTTTTGAGACAGAGTCTTGCTCTGTTGCCTGGGCTAGAGTGCCGTGGCGTCAGCCTAGCTCACAGCAACCTCAAACTCCTGGATTCAAGCAATCCTTCTGCCTCAGCCTCCCAATTAGCTGGGACTACAGGCATGCACCACCATGCCTGGCTAATTTTTTCTATATATTTTTAGTTGTCCAGCTAATTTCTTTCTATTTTTTTAGTAGAGATGGGGTCTCGCTCTTGCTCAGGCTGGTTGCGAACTCCTGAGCTCAAACAATCTGCCCGCCTCAGCCTCCCAGAGAGCTAGGATTACAGGCGTGAGCCACCATGCCCAGCCAGTCACTGAGATTTTTAAAAACGGGCGTGGAGAGTGGCAAGAGCTGAGCATGGGCAGGGGCTAAAGAGATAAGAGCCATGAAAAGGTGAACAGACAGACACAGGCATGAAGCTATCACTGCTGTCTATGCTTGAAACAAAATGGAATTCCATTACATGTAAAGATGTGCCAAACAGAATTTAAGCAGAACAATATTTACACAACCATTACAACTGGAGAGCAATTTCTGAAGTAGTATCTTCTATCGTACTTTCTCCATTTTGCTAAATCTCAAAAATATCTTCTATATTATTCAAAAATTATTTTAACTTAACTATTTGAACCACTTTAGAAAGGCCCTAATTTTCCCATTCAACTTCTAGTCAGAAATATTCCCAAATTGCTCAGCATCCTATTAAATTAAGGCTGCAGAGAAAAGCAATAGAATTCACTTAGACTCTGAGGAAAGTGAAGATAATAGATAACGAACCTCAAATGTTTCATTCTCAGGGTTCTTTTACTCTCCTTTCTTAACTAATAAAATGTCTCCTGAAGAACACAGGCAAACTTTCTGATAAAAATATGCAAGAGTCATTTGACACAGATATTCAATTTCATATTAACATAACTTCCTTTAATAAGAGCTCTCCTTTTTGTACCTGTTGGGACTCCAGGGTATGGTGGGAGTCATACTGATGTCTGGAAACAAAACCCCATTGTCCTTGATTCTGTCTAGTGCATAATGCATTTCACAGAGGGGTAACCGATTTAATTGAAACTGAAGTTCAACCTGAAACACAAGAAATGAATTTTTTAAAAAAAAGCATTAAAGTAAATATCAATGCTGGCAGTTCACTAGAATATTTCGTGGAAGCAACTATTTAGGGGAACACGTTTAGAGATTCTTTTAAAATATAATCATATTCTAATAATAATTATGAATATTTGCTTTGTTTATTACCAGGTACTGTGTCAAGCACATTACATCGATTTTTTCACTTTATAGTATCAATGATGTATATACTATCATTAACTTCATTTTACATATTAAGAAACTGAGGCGGCCGGGCGCAGTGGCTCACGCCTGTAATCCTAGCACTCCGGGAGGCCGAGGCGGGTGGATTGCTCAAGGTCAGGAGTTCGAGACCAGCCTGAGCAAGAGCAAGACCCCGTCTCTACTAAAAATAGAAAGAAATTAATTGGACAACTAAAAATATATAGAAAAAATCAGCCGGGCGTGGTGGCGCATGCCTATGGTCCCAGCTACTCGGGAGGCTGAGGCAGGAGGATCGCTTGAGCCCAGGAGTTTGAGGTTGCTGTGAGCTAGGCTGACGCCATGGCACTCTAGCCCGGGCAACACAGTGAGACTCTGTCTCAAAAAAAAAAAAGAAACTGAGGCATTTGTAAATTACTTAATCTCTAAATAAAGGTTATCTGATTCCGCCATTCTATGAAGAATGTATTTGATAAAATTGAAAAACATCTATGAAATAACACATCTTGACGGATAACCAGCCCTGTGACACTGTATCAATTTACTATGAATAAATAATATTCAACAAGTTTTGTGTTTAAAAAGAAAAAAGACTAGCCTTCCATATGGCAGACTGAAGACATGATTCACCTAAAAACTCACAAAGAAAAAGAGAACAGGGGCAGACACAACTGCAGATGAAAGATGGCCTAAAGTGTAGCTTAAGTAGTTTATTTTGATCTGTTCTTCCATCGATAATTTAAAATGAATCAGAAAGTTCAACCTTGTATCAAACTGGAACATTTTAGATGCTACTTAAATTAAATAGAATCAATTTTCTCTGGAAGTTACCAGAGGTCCAATTCTCAGCCTATCAGTTAAGACTCCACAGTCAGCTGCACTTTTGTTTATGGTAGAAGGAAAACCAAATCAGAGGAAGAATATCAGCTGGAAATGATACTACAGACAACCATGGTTAAACTGTCATCTTCAAGTATACCTGTGTGTCACAATCAGGCCGAAGATTAAGTTCTTCACAGCATTCCCTGGATATCCTTAAAAATATATATTCTTTTGTTTTTTCTTCAATAGTAGCTTCATAAACCTTCTCTTTGGTTCCCTGGGTCTGTACTAACTTCTCTTTAGGGACTGGTAATAAATAAACAGCATTGACTTTGGTCATCACCAGTCGTCCAGCCAAAGTATCTTCAGAAAGTGTTTCAGTAAGCTTAAAGCGACCAAAAAGTTGTCCATTCTGAGCATACTTTGCACCTCCAGAAACTCCAGTCAGCATGAAGCTTGCTAGAATCTGCAATTGCACTTTAAGGTTGAACCTAAATCAAAAGTAGAAAACTAGTTTGAAAATTTTACATCAAAAACATAATAATTAGGAGAGTAAAAAAAAAATCAAATATAAACATATCAAAAATTAAAACTTATCAATTCCACTTCGTTGCGCTAAAAACTATATGCTATCTCTGACTTTAACCAAAGCTAGAGACAATAAAACTTTTCTTAAAATGAATAAACTCCCATGAAAGTTCCATAAAGATACATATTTAGTTATGTTGAAGAATAGCACGTTCAAAAAAATCCAGAATATTTTAAATGAAACTAAACATGATTTTTTAATAAAATGAAATATTATGTATTAATTAATATGAAAGTCTGTTTTAATACACCATTGGGACAATTAAGACTTTAAAATCACCTAGAACCAGAAGAAAACACATTACATTGAAACTACAAAGGACTTTAAACAGATTGCTTTCAAAGTAGATATTACCAAAAGATTCTAACCATAAAACTTCTCTTTCAATAATGTTAATGAATAACATCTAGAATAAATTTTCTTTCATGGCTACATGGAGAAGGTCTCATGCAGGAATTATGGAAGGAAAAGTTAAAGTCTGTTATATTATACAATGGCCGGTACACTCACACTTCTGTGTATACTCGTAAGTATGAGAGAGAATGTGTGTGAAAGAGGCAGAGAATCAAGATTAATTTACACAGTCGAGAACTATGAGGTGAAAGAATAATTTAAACTAATTGACAGTTCTCCTTTGCCATTCTGGAATGGTACTATAAGAGGTAAGACAATATAATAAGGAGTAATGGGAACATTGTCTACTTTTTCTTAGAAGGTTTGCCTTGGTCCATTTTGTATTGCTATAACAGAATACCTGAGACTGGGTCATTTATTAAAAACAGATTTATTTCTTACAGTTCCGGAGACTAGGAAGTCCAAGATCAAGGGGCTGGCATCTGATGAGGGCCTTTATGCTGCATAATCCCATGGTGGAAGGCAGAAGAGCAAGAGAATGCAAGCAAGAGCACTCCTGCCACATTAATCCATTTATGAGGGCACAGCCTCATGACCTCATCACCTTTTAATGGTCCCACCTCTTAATACTGTCCCAGTGGCAACTAAATTTTCAACATGAGTTTTGAAGGGGACATTCAAAACAACAGTATTCTGCCCCTGGTCTCCCTAAAACTCATGTCCTTCTCATGTATAAAATATATTCATTCCATCCCAAATAGCTCCCCAAAAGTCTAACCTCTTTCCAGCATCAACTCAAAAATCCCAAGTCCAGAGTCTCATCTAAAACAGATATAGATGAGACTCAAGGCATGATTTATCCTAGGGCAAATTTCTCTCCAGCTATGAGCCAGTGATATTAACAAGTTACGGGCTTCCAAAATACAATAGGAGGACAGATATGAGATATACCATGGGTGGTTGCAACATTAAAGCCACACGTGGCCGCCAAGGTCCGTAAGTGTGGCCCTCTGATTGAATCCAAATTTTACAAAACAAATCCTTTTATTTTTATAGTAGGATGAAAAAGAAATATAGATTGTATGTTATCTAGTTATGCTGGACTTTGATATGTGGAATGTGTACTATAGATTCATATAAAAATGTCTTTAAATGAAAATGAAACAAAACATACTCCAATTTACATGTAATCTGTGTTCACCTGCTCTTTTTTTTTTTTTTTTTTTTTTTGAGACAGAGTCTCACTGTGTTGCCCGGGCTAGAGTGAGTGCCGTGGTGTCATCCTACCTCACAGCAACCTCAAACTCCTGGGCTCAAGCGATCCTCCTGCCTCAGCCTCCCGAGTAGCTGGGACTACAGGCATGTGCCACCATACCCGGCTAATTTTTTTCTATATATTTTTAGTTGTCCGATTAATTTCTTTCTATTTTTAGTAGAGACGGGGTCTGGCTCTTGCTCAGGCTGGTTTCAAACTCCTGAGCTCAAACAACCCGCCCGCATCGGCCTCCCAGAGAGCTAGGATTACAGGCGTGAGCCACCGCGCCCGGCCTCACCTGCTCTTTAAATAAAATATGCTCTTAAAAATAACAGGAAACCTTATGTTATTTATGCTTCCTCAAATGAAGTTAAAATTTTACTTTTCTTTTACTATTCATATAATATGTGAGATTTGGGGTCATTAAAGCTTTCTCAGGAGGAAGAGATTACTTACAGTGCAAGAAATTCGTGATTCACAAAGGACTTTCTTGTTGCTAAGGGAAATGTACAGTTCTCATACCTTTTTTTCACTATGCAACTGCTCTCCCCTTTCTTTGAGCTCCCTTTTCCACTGACTTCTGTACAGTAATACTCTCCTAATTGTTTTCCTCCAACCTCTCTAGCTGCTTGACCGCCTCCCATCTAAGCACCAACCACCTTCTATTTAATAAAAGATCCACCCTGCCCTGTTCCAACTCTCTAAGACCTCACTAGGTGAGGTCACCCTTTCCCAGATCTCTCAGCTCAGGGCTGTAAATCCAACTGTCACATGAACACCTTTGTTTATATGCCCTTCAAATTTGGTATATTCAAAACTGAATTATCATCTGACCTCCTCAGTGTGACCACCAAACCACTCCTCCCATGTATTATACATCGTAGGGAATGGCACTACCACCCACCTAGGTATCCAAGCCGGAAACCAACTCATCCTTGACCTTGGCTCCCCCATCAACCTTCATCCCTTCATCACAGAATCACCAAGCCCCAATAGTTTCTAATGGTCTTGTTAGTTCCTCCTCCTCCTAATTCACCTGCATTTGAACATTTTAAACTTGGATTACTGAAACAAACTTCTAATGTGACTGTTTGTCTCAAATCTATTCTCTACACCACCATCAGAGGACCTTTGTAAAATGTAAGTCTGATGAGAAGCAGCCTCCCATAGTTCTGAGGACAAGGCTCCACAGCCTTCTTTCTCTCCCACCCTGCTCCACCACACAAGCACCCTCCATCACAACCATAATGATCAACTTGCAGCTTTCCCCCAAACTCTATGCTCTTATCCTCATATCTGGTTCCCTTTAACAAAATTCTTTTGTCCTACTTCTTAACCTGACAAATCTTACGTGTTTTTCAAAATTCAGCCTAAATACCATCTGCTCCCAAAAGCAGACTTGATTTCCTTGTTGACTTGACTACTGTCCTTCTCCCACTTGTTTGTCTTAGAATCAGCAGTGAGTAGCCTAAAACCTAACACTATGAATACTCATTAAACTTTGTTCATTAAATTAATTTTAGATTTGGGTAATAATCTGATTTTCTCCAGCCACCATATTCCCATTTCAACTACTTTATTCCCTAACAAATTCCTGAAATCCTGTAATATATTTCTCAACTATCTTAAGTGATATATTAAAGTTTCACTCTGATATCTATTTCAGAATCCACCATCCCAAAACACTTGCTCACAATTTAACAAGCATGAAAAATTAATGTCACAGTTTTAGAGCAACAAGAAAAACCTCTTGTGACACTTGGTTGTGCTTTGCAACAAAACTGTCGAGGTAGAGGCGCTAGAAAATAAAAGCCCTAAGAAATATAGCTTTTCCTGCAGAAGATTCATCACATATTCAAGATGTAGATATTATAGACTTTCTATAAAAGTTATAGCTACTAATATTTATTTTTTCTAAAAGCTTAACAGGCTAAAACTAAAACCATATTAGTAATCTCTCTTAGATATTAAAATAATACGCATTTTTTTAAATTTAATAACTCAGAAATACCTAAAATACAAAATATATCTTATAATTAACAAAGATATTTCTTAATAAGAAAACCCATCTCTCCATTGTTGCATGCCACATTTTAAAATCAACCTTCAGGCTTACATAATTCCTAACCTTTTGTGGAATGGCAGAATAATAGCCAAATTTTCAATGAACTTAAAACCGTACCTCTAAGCTAGTGAGAAATGTCTCTATCAACTTTAGCAACAATTAGAATATATCTCTTCAGTGTATAACTTTTTAAAAATTTCAAAGCTACATGGTGAATTTCATTTCTTCCGATTTCTGACTATATGAACAACAAAAATCAACCAAAATAATAAGATAATCCCTGGGTTTACTAAAGCAGAGCAACAGAACTGAAGCATAACCCACAGAAGCAACACTCATCTCGATGACGAAACGTGTACCCACACTAGGCCTGTCGTGCCAGCTGTCAGCACTGAGAAGCCAGGCACAATGACCTGTTTAGGCATGCCACTGAACAGTTTAATGGACACAACAGCTTCAGCTGAAGTCAATTTCTTTTGAAAATGTATCTCTTAGAATCAAACAGATTTCACATCAAGGTAGAATCATTATTGAATCCACATCAACATGTGGCTGAAGAAAAGTTAAACAAACAAACAAATCTCCAAAGAACTCAAAAACATTTTCTAAAACTTAAATGAAATGAAATACAGTATTATAGTTATTTAATAACTAGTGATTTCATTAGAATAGTCTACAGACACAATTGATAAAAGCCTTTTAAAAGACCCTCAATGGGGAACGGCAAGTTTAGAAGATGCCACCCAAAGGAAAAAGTGGTTCTGGAAAAGGAGGAAAAGGGGGAGCAGCCTCTGGGAGTGACAGTTCTGACAAGAAGGCTCAGGGTCCCAAAGGTGGTGGCAATGCAGTAAAGGTCAGACATATTCTATGTGAAAAACACGGCAAAATCATGGAAGCCATGGAAAAGTTAAAGTCTGGAATGAGATTCAACGAAGTGGCTGCACAATATAGTGAAGATAAAGCCAGGCAAGGGGGCGACTTGGGTTGGATGACCAGAGGGTCCATGGTGGGACCTTTTCAAGAAGCAGCATTTGCCTTGCCTGTAAGTGGGATGGATAAACCTGTGTTTACAGATTCACCAGTGAAGTCAAAATTTGGATATCATATTATTATGGTTGAAGGGAAAAAATAAATCATATGAAAGACTGAAAAAAAAAAAAAAAAAAGACCCTCAATGGGCCATGACAAAGTCTTAGATAATGAAAAAATATACTCTGACTTTGAAAATTTTATATGTATTTAATTTGAAATTAGGTACTTTCAAAAGTTAGATCACATTTAATCTATAAACAGAGTAACACAAAGTATCTGTAAGTTTTCACTTACTTTTATTTTCTGATTATACCCTTAATGAGTGTTCAGTATCTACCAAAATACTAATGATAAGGTACCAATAAGGCAGCTTGGAGAAGAGAAATATATTGATTAGGCTGTATTGAAAAGGAAAACTACTTACAAAAACGGATTCACATCTAATTATTTTTCAATTTTTTTTTTTTTTGAGACAGAGTCTCATTCTGTCACCTGGGCCACAGTACAGTGGCATCATCATAGTGTTTTTCAGTTTTTAAGGCTCGTCTCCGTACTTTATAGTAGCTATCTAAAAAGAAGAAAGCTACTACCAAAAACAACTATTTCATTAACATTTTCCTTCACTCAAACTTTCTTTTCGAAGATTATTTTTCCTAAAACGATTCAAATAAGCTTTCGATTTAAGCGCTTGGTCCTAACCTATGGCGTAAGAATAAAATGTAAAATATGTTAAGGCATTTACAAACTGCTATGAAGCTGTTTTATTATTATCAGCTTTCCTGAAGACCTAGATCAGTCTTAAAATAACTTTTCAAAATATGTGGTGTCTCTCAGTTTTTGTGTTATACATTTATTCAACAAATATTCATTGAGTGCTTGCTATGACTACCATTGACTGAAAGCTCCTCAAGACCAGGAACCACAGATTTATATTCCCAACACGTGGCAAAGAGCTTATCCCCTAGCGGATGCTTAGTAAGGTCTTGTAGAAATAACTATGCACTAAAACAGTAGGGATACCAAGATAAGCGCAACACAGTTCTTGCCTTAAGAAGCTCATATTTCATTTAAAGATAGAATACAGCTATTGAATAACAACCACTTACTACCAGCCTTCACTTAGGCACACTTGCATTTTAAAAATTAAAAATATCATCCAAATGGGAGATTTTTTTTTTTAAGTGTTTCTAAAATAACTTACTTGCTGACTTCTTTATACTGGGCTATCTCCTCAATATAAAGAAGGTCATGCAACCGTGACTGATAGTTGGTCTTGGTCAATGATTTGTCTAAAACGGACTGAGTAAACAGCTGGTCAGCAGAGAGAGGAATTTGGTATCTGATAAGAAGGCTCTTCTCCAAATCAGTAGTTTCATTAGGTTCAAAATCTATAATAGTCTTAGATGAAGAATCCCAACGCTTAGCTGTGGTTACTAGCTGTTGTTTTGCATGCATCAGGTATTCGAGATCTAAATGGAAACAAAAAACACATTTATAAAGAAACATAACATTAAAATTCTCAAATAATACATTACACATTTTGTTAAGAGTATTTTATATGCTAGAGCTAAAATTCTTAAGAACAAAACAATATAAAAACCCATTTACAGGGCATTTTCCCCATATCAGAAATATTTGTTTTGTCTATTTTAACAAAACAACATTAATAGGAATGCATTTTTTTTTTAATTTTTTTTTAACTATATCAGGCTAGGACATGCCACATACAGTTATTACCATTTTAAAAATACGGATTGGGCCGGGCGCGGTGGCTCACGCCTGTAATCCTAGCACTCTGGGAGGCTGAGGCGGGTGGATTGTTTGAGCTCAGGAGTTTGAAACCAGCCTGAGCAAGAGCGAGATCCCGTCTCTACTAAAAATACAAAAAAATTAAGGCAGGCATGGTGGCACATGCCTGTAGTCCCAGCTACTCAGGAGGCTGAGGCAGAAGGATTGCTTGAGCTCAGGAGTGTGAGGTTGCTGTGAGCTAGGCTGACGCCATGGCACGCACTCTAGCCCGGGCAAAAGAGTGAGACTGTCTCAAAAAAAAAAAAAATACAGATTGACATTTAGAACTTAAATGTCAACTTTTCTCTTCGGTCAAGAGAAATCTGATCTGCAGGAAGAAGATATGATAAGTTCTTCATAAGATAAGTTTTATAAGGTGATAATCATTTTCCTCCTACTACTACCAATACCCATCCCATTACAGAAAGAGAAGATCAAAAAGCTGAGAAAGGTTAAATATTTTCTTATGTGGTAAAGCACAGTGAAACTACATTATCTAAAAGTCAACTTACTACAAACAAAAATCTTTTAGAAAATATTCATGTAAAACACTGCTAATTCCTCAATAAAATGCCATTCAAATATCATTTCTGAAAAATCCAGTTTAGCCCCAGTTAAATTATACTATAAATAGGGTACCATGTCAAAATGAATGACTATTCAAGTTCTGACATCTCTGGAAAAAAATGTAGCATAATACCAGCACAGGGTGAAATCCACAGTAACATAAACTCTAAGCACTGAATCAGCTCACTCTACATGCAGTGCATATTACTTTTCTACTGGGTGAAACATGCATACATTCATAAAAATGAAACTTAACCAAAAAGGAAAAAAAAAGTTGCATGACTGATTCATTATGCCAAGATTCAGTTTTAACATAACTGGAAAGATGGTTTCACAACTTAGCTTAAAATTTTATGAAGAAATAATAAAAAGTTTAGACAAAAATCAGTTAGTCTCCAAGGTTTAAAGACAAGTTATCCTAAACTATCTTTGAAATGAGAACATAATGCATAACTGCCATGTCTTGCTTAGTGAGAGATTTTACATGTAAATGTTACACATAGATTATAAACATATAAGTATAGTCATCCACCAAGAGAAATTTCTCAGTAGTAGCTAATAGCCTGTTCTAATATCTTAATAAAAATAAAAACCAAAAATATAAAGGCCCTAATTTCCAAACTTTGCTCCTTGAAAAGGCATTTTTACATGCCAGTTTCATTATTTCTCAAATGGCAACATAAATACAATTATAATCATCAAAATGTAAAGACAGTCTGCTCATTAAAAACTTGCATTTTAAAATACTTTGAGGATTGATGGTCTGTTTTTGCAATAGCCTCACGAGCAGTTTTTTAAAGTACACTAACTACATTTTCTTCCTAAATGCTCTGAAATTGAGACCTGCCTATTCATTCATTAGATCATAGCTATAAAAAGTATTTAAATTTTACAAATACCAACATTCCTGAAATAGATTATACTGTCACTAAAGATCAGATGCTAACTATTACCAAAATACCAAGGAGGTACACAATTTTTTACTTTTAATCAAAAGTCAAAAAGACACATAGCAATGTTACAGTGACAAACCAAATTACCAGCTCTTTAAAAGTAAATAAAAATGGCCAGGCGCGGTGGCTCATGCCTGTAATCCCAGCACTCTGGGAAGCCAAGGTGGGAAGATCACTTGAGGTCAGGAGTTCAAGACCAGCCTGAGCAACAGCAAAACCCCGTCTCTACTAAAAATAGAAAGAGATTAGCTGGACAACTAAAAATATAGAAAAAATCAGCTGGGTATGGTGGCACATGCCTGTAGTCCCAGCTACTCAGGAGGCCGAGGCAGAAGGATTGCTTAAGCCCAGGAGTTTGAGGTTGCTGTGAGCTAGGCTGAAGCCACTACACTCTAGCCTGGGCAACAGAGTGAGACTCTGTCTCCAAAA